AGCCCAAGCTCCATGGCAGGCTGCAGGGGTCTGCCCAGAGACCAGGCTGCTTGCAGCAAGCAGTCGTGAGGCTGCAAGTGGCTGTACCAGTGGCAGCAGCTACACACACATGCCTCAGAAGGCATGGTGGGAAAGGGGCTGGGGCTGAACTGCTACAACAAGGTTCAGGGCCCTTGCAGCTCCCTCACTGCTCACCCATGGCATACCAACATCTTTGAAGTCCAGGCTGTGGGGTTTTTTTGGTGCTCCGACGAAAAACATTGGTGACTCCTGAACTATCAGATTTGCAGAAGCCTCCTAAGGAGTAAATGCCTGCCCCGCCCCAGTGTAATTTCTTATTGAAGGACATCAACTGTTTTTTTTTGGTTTTAATACAATAGATGTGAGACTGCTGAGCAAAGGCATTATGTATAACAAATGGAAAGTACTGATAAGGAAAAGGCTGTCCCAGAAAGCAGTAGCGATCTTTAACAGTTACAATATTATATCATGTTATACTTCAGACACAGCAAGAAAACGTTTGCAACCTTACATGAAATGCAGAATACACAGCCTCTAGAAACAGCTTGCTGTGTAGCTGTAAAAATCACATAATTTATAGTGCGATAACTTGCTGCTGCAAGGTTAGTTGGTGTACTATATGTTGCTAAGCATTCTGAAATTGAACCGGCTTCTAAGATGAAGCATTTGCAGTCTCACACTGACAGTTATACCCTGAATCAATGACACAGCACAACACGTTTTCAAGCACCATGCATTTTTATACTAAGAAATATTAGGGGCCTCTATTTTGTTGCCACAGGGATATGATGCATTTTATATTTTTCAGGTCAGAATTTGTAGCAGCAAAAAATCACTATGGACTGCAACCCTGTTTATCCAAAGACTTCTTTCTACAAAGTGGCATTTAGAAACATTATATTTTTAGTGGTCCAACTGTGGATGAGTTAGTAGGATGTTCTAACCACTCACAACTGATGAAGATCCACTGACATTTTTCCTCAACAGTAAGAACCTTCCTAAGTCCTGAGTAAATTCCAGTTTAGCAATGTCATTTTGCCCTCTAAAGTATTACATCACTTGGATGCAATGGCCATCGTTTCTCATCTTTCTGTCCTACTGCATGGAGGGTCACCTGTACAATCTTAGAAGAGCAATGACCACTCCAAAATAAAGTGAAAATACGCAGGACATTTTGCTGTTTGCATAATTACGGGAAAAAAAAATGAGAGCGGGTAAGCTGCCTGTTGACAGTATTTGCTTTCCTGATATGCATATTTCTACGTATCCCCAGATATAATTTATTATATTATGAACTCAGCAAAATTCTTCTACACTGCACATATCAATCAAGCCATCCACAGGCCAAGAGCCAGTGACAGAAATAGGCTCTACAGCATGACATTATGGCTCCAGGTCAAACTATGTCAAATCAGGAATATCGGCCTTCTAAATGATTCCACCAGCTGTAAATCAAGCACTGCATTTAAATCTGATATGAGTTACTTTCCTACTAAAACTAATTTATAATTCATGCAAAGTAAGAAGGCTGGTACCTTCAGTAACATAAATTGCACCTCAAACATAACCAGCAGCCTGGATTTTCTGCTCTCTTCAGATTAGCAAAACAAAAAGCTTCCAATTCAATAGAAAGATGAGTAATTTGGTAGATGGTACTTTAAAAAAAAAATGCTAACAGGGAACAAAGTAGTAAATAAGCAGCCAAAACCTACCAGCAGTCCAAAACTACCAATAGTTTCCACACACACTGAGGTCCTGCTGAGCAACTGCTTGAACGAACTGTGCCCTTAGGGAAGCAGTCGGGGGTCCATGAATCCTTCTATCCTGATTTCCATGCCCTCCTCCAAGAGAAGCAGAAAATGCTCCAAAAAAACAAACAAACAAAAAAAAACCTTTCTATTTTACATGACAAAATAATGCACCAAGGTAAACTCTGACTCATACATATAATCTCAATTACTGTGTACTCCCCACACAGCCACAAGCTGCAGTACACAAGCCGCAAGCTGCACACAGTACACAGCCACAAGCTGCAGGATCTCCAGTGAAGTTTCTAAGTCCCACCGTCACCACTCGCGATACCAGTCGCAGCTTGGAAACAAGCTGAGTCCCTATATCATTAAAACCACCAGTGCTGCACTTGTAAACACTTAGGAAGTTATGTTTCCAAAGAAATAGTGAGTAATGCTGAGCAATGTTTAGAACAACAAAACTCTGGGCCCATTTGGGTCTTTCACAGTACGTAGGGTCAGAAGCGACCTGAGCAGATCATCAAGCCCGCCCCCCTGCCATAGGCAGGAAAGAATGCTGGAGTCAAACAACCCCGGCTAGGTGATTATCTACCCTCCTTTTGAAGACCCCAGGGTAGGAGCAAGCACCACTTCCCTTGGAAGTTGGTTCCATATCCTAGCTGCACTGACTGTGAAGTAGTGCCTCCTGATATCTAGCCTGAATCTACTCTCGGTCAACTTATGGCCGTTATTCCTTGTTACTCCTGGTAGTGCTCGGGGGAACAGGGACTCTCCCATAGCCTGGCCGGTCCCCCTTGGCTAGTTTGTAGACGGCCACCACACCCCCTCTCAGCCTTCTCTTGTGGAGGCTGAACAGGTTCAGGTCCCGTAGCCTTTCCTCGTAGGGCCTTCCCTGCTGCCCCTGATCATGTGAGTGGCCCTCCTCTGGACCACCTCGATGCTGTCCACATCCCTCCTGAAGTGCAGCGCCCAGAACTGGACGCAGTACTCCAGCTGTGGCCTGACCAGTGTCGCATAGAGGGGGGAGGATCACCTCCTTGGATCTGCTTGTGATGCATCTGTAGATGCATGACAAGGTGCGGTTGGCCTTCCTGACCGCATCTCCACATTGGCGGCCCATGTTCATTTTGGAATCAATAATGACTCCAAGATCCTTTTCTGCCTCTGTGCTAACTAGAGGGGAGTTCCCCAGCCTGTAGGTCTGCTGCTGGTTCTTCCTCCCTAGGGGCAGTACCTTGCACTTGTCAGTACTGAATCCCATCCTGTTCTCATCCGCCCACCCCTGTAACCTGCCTAGATCTAGTTGCAGCCTGTCCCTCTCCTCTAGCACGCCCACTTCTCCCCACATCTTAGTGTCATCCGCGAATTTGAACAAGGTGCTTTTCACCCCATCATTCAAGTCGCTGATGAAGATGTCAAACAGCGTGGGGCCGAGGACCGAGCCCTGGGGGACCCCAATGCCCACATCCCTCCAGGTCGAAAAAGACCCATCCATCACCATTCTCTGTGTGCGGCCCTCCAGCCAATTTGCAACCCATCTGACTGTGTAGGCATTGACACCGCAGTCGCCTGATTTTTTAATGAGAATGGGGTGAGACACAACGTCGAAGGCCTTCCTAAAGTCCAGAAAGACTATGTCCACCGTGACACCTGCATCCAAGGATTTTGTGACCTGGTCACAGCAGGCCACCAGGTTGGTCTGACAGGTCCTGCCTCGAATGAACCCATGTTGGTTGCCCCTAAGCATGATCTCTCCTGCTGGTCCCTCGCAGATGTGTTCCTGGATAATTTTGTCAAAAAGCTTCCCCAGAACTGAGGTAAGACTAATGTCCCTGTAGTTTCCTGGGTCCTCCTTCCTCCCTTTTTTGAAAATGGGGACCACAATTGGCCCTTTTCCAGTCCTCTGGCACCTCGCCAGAGCACCATGAGGACTTGTAAAGCTGTGCCAGGGGTCCTGCAATGACCTCTACTAATTCCCTCAGCACTCTGGGGTGGAGATCGTCTGGACCTACTGATATGAACATGTCTCGGCCCACCAGAAGTTCCCTGACTAGGCCCTCACTGACTTTGGGCCTGGCAGCGCCTCCCCTGGGTCCATCGGGGATCCCAGCGTGGAGGATGCCCCGGCCCCTGCTCAAAAAGATGGAGGCAAAGGAATTTTTAAAGAGGTTAGTTTTGTCGTCTGGTGTGACTACCAGATTTCCTAGCATATCCTGCAGGGGCCCTACATGACGTATAATATACAGTTACCACCAGAATTCCATCTATGATGAAGACTTAAGGCCTTTAGCCTACAAAAATCTGGATTATGACATTTTATTTATAAGACGCAGAAAACAAAACCATTCAGACACCTACTCCCAAGCCAGCGTTTGACAATGAACTTGGACAATAGCAAAAAAAAAAGCCAACATCAGATTGGGTTATATTAACAGAAGTGTCACTTGCAAATCAAAGGAAGTGATTCTCCCACTATATTCAGCACTGGTGAGGCCTCACTTGGAGCAGCATCCAGTCTTGGGCCCCACACTTCAAGAAGGATGTGGACAACTTGGAAAGAGTCCAGCACAAAACAAAAATGATTAGAGGCCTGGGAGGCAAAACTTATGAGGAAAGGCTGAAAGAGGTAGGGGTTATTTTGTCTGGAAAAGGGAAGACTGAGGGGGGATTTGATAACTGCCTTCCAATACCCGAAGGGCAATAACAGAAAGGATGGAGATGAACTTTTCTCTGTGGCTGTAAGGGACAGTACTAGGAGCAATGGCCTCTAAGTGCAGCACAGGGAATTTAGGTTGGAGATTAGGAGAAATCTCTCGACGAGGGAGAGTCAAGCATTGGAACAGGCAGCCAGAGAAATTGTAAAATCTTCAACCTTTGAAGCTTTTAAGAGCAAGTTAGATGGACAGTTAGCTGGGATGGCTTAGTTGGGGAGAATCATGCCTTGAGCAGGGGTATGGACTAGCTAAACCTGTGAAGTCCCATCCAGCCCTACTTTCCTATGATCCAAAGATTATATTGGCCAGAGGGAACTCAGCACCTTATGGAGCTTATGCAAAGAAGATTCTCCAGACTTCTGTCTTTGGCAGAAAGATGCATCATTTACCTAAATCTTTCTCTTGGATTTGTACCCTGTGGTTCTCTAAGTCACTCACTCACTTTTCAGAAACATGTTCTATGCAAATAAGTTACACCTGTGAAAACTGAACACACATGGATTTATTTAGGTACCTTTCTTGCAGCCTCCCCTTAATTGTGGTTGTCAGCTTCTGAATGCTGGCTCTGCCTCTTCAAACAGTTGAACTCGCTCTGCTTTTTAAAGAAAAGAAATAACATTGGGACCAAATCAGAACATCAGTGAGCATCCACCTATTTACTGGGGGTAAGAGTCATCCCACGTGTCCCACACACCTCCCTTCATTCTTCCCCAAGTATCAAAACATGTCAGATTTCAAGCATTTAGTTTGATTAGTACACCAGTTCAGATACTGAATTGAAAGTCAGTGAAGTGTGCACATCTTTCACACTATACAACTCCTAATAAGAGCTGCAAAACTGTAAGACCAAACGGGATTATAGGCTCAAATCCCTGCACTGACACAGAGGCCAGCTGCATTCTACATTTCTTGTCCACATATTGGAACCTGGCCCACTTAAGCCAGATTTAAATCTTATAGACAGATTTTAGATGTGAGGTACAAGGAAACATTCTTATTTATTTATTTATTTATTTATTTACTTTTTGTTCTACATTGGTTGCAGGGAATCCAGAAGCCTATTCACTAAGCCTTACTTTCTTGCACTTCTCAAAGAAATTAAAATCTCACACACACACCAGCAGTCTCTGAAAACTATAACTGCTCTCACTTTATATGCAGCAACATTTTTTTTTAAGTCACATCCTTCTATATCATTCAACAGAAAGAAAAAAATGTCTGGATACCCAGACTACCAGCAGAGACACTTGAGAGAGAAAAAGAGACTCTAAGGCTAGGGACAGAAGTTACACATAAATCAGTTTAAGTGATCAGAAACTGGTTTAAACCTGTAACAGAATAGAAGTTCAGTGCACACAAACCAGGATGAATGTAGTATCAGACTTAACTGACTTAGGTCAAACTGGTTTAAGAAACTTGTGTCCCAGACCTAAATGCAGCCTGCTCCGCCGCTCTACCCCCCAACCTCCTCGCTTTAGTAGCAAGTGGTCCAGCAACTGGTCAGATTTTATGTTAACCTCTACAACTGCAGGAAGACTAAAATGTTTTCTTCTGTGGGGTGGGCAAGAAAGGATGGCACCTGGCCTAAATAGGGGTGGAGAGGGAGATCAGGAGATGGCTGGACTGGAGGGTAGGTGACAAAGCATTGGGTAAATGAAAAGTAGTAATAAACTGAAGGGTAACTTTGACAAATGGTCTCTGTTTGCTTTCTTATCTTTTCGGCTGTTAGCTTATCAGGATCATCTCTACCACATGCAGAGCCCTGTGCAAAGGGCCCCAGGCCTACCTAGCTAGGGCCAGCAAGTACTATCAGAATACACATTATTGCTCTTTACCTCCCACAGCAACACGGCATTGCCTGTTAGAGCAAATAAAAAAAGAAGTCTTTCCTTTTTCTACAGTTGTGGGAGAACACAGGGGTTTCACAGTTCTTCATAACACTAGGACATTATCCCTTTCTGTGCCACAGCAAGTTAGTTAAGAACTAGATTAAACATCAGTCTGGATGAACATTTACAAGAAGCAGCTGGTCGTTATGATAAAACAAACAACAGACCTGGAAGAATCCCTGACAGAACAATAACTCCATGTAATTCATCTGTGTAAAGTGCTCTGAGGCAGCAAAGCCAAAGAGTACAGCTTACTGGGAGCTGTGATAAGGCATGTTTCCAATAAGCTAGGCAAAACTGACACACATCAACTGTAGTTATGCTACGTCCAAGACAAATACCGTGATCCTGCAGGTGTGAAGATGAAAAGCAGCTTGTAAAATAGGTTTTGAGTGGAAAGGGAAAAGCAATGAAAGGAAACAAAACAAATAAGAAATGGGCACTGCGGGACAGATTTTGAAGAGCCACTTTAAAGCATGACAGAAGGTAAGTGGGCACTGAATTAGGGACTAGGTTCGCTACTTACTGGTTTCTTTTTAGTTTGGCCCTTACCAAATCAATCCTGTTCTTCAAGAAGGGGCTGCTAGTGAAATAACATTTAATATGCTAGGGCTCTGGCAGTGAAGACTGCAGAGTGAACTCTGTAATACAGAAGGAGAAGTTAAAAAAAATTCCCCATGGACCAGACAGAAGCTAGAATAATTTTATCCTGACATGAGAATATAAATAAAATGTAAATAATATAATGATTCAGCATTTAAGGCAGTAGAAAAGTATAATAGAAAACAATGTTCTAACAAACTGCAATAAGCTACAGATCTAGGATCAAAGCACCTGCTATCAATTGGGACCAGCAGAGAAAAATACACTTCCCTCATTCCACACGAGCCAGAACAGAACTTCCTTCTCTAGAAGGCAGGAGGAAGCCCAGCAACAGTTGGGCAGCGCATCTCAATGCTCCACCAAAATGGCCTGTGTACAGTAAAGCATTCACTGTGCAACCCTGCACTCACAGTTGAGGACAGAGGAGTTTTTCTGAACCTATTCATCTCTAAAGGAAAGGTCAGCAAGAGGCTACGAAAACCAGCAACAGAAAGCCCCAACAAGTGCTGTCTTACTCAGATTATTAATGAAGTCTGCTCATGAGGACCCACCACTTCAGGGCTCTCTCAGTAACACTGGCTATTGCTTCCAGTTGCCATTGTCTTCTATGAAAACAGCAGTTTCCGGTTACTATGCTATGAAACAACGCAAACATGCATCTCCTGCCAGCTAAGAAGTAATCCCATGTCGTCACTGTTCAAAGCTCCACCATCATCTAAGGAAACCAAGCAAGATGTCCACAGATTTACCAGTAGCAGTCACCTTCACTACCCTGCCCCACCTCTTGCAGAAGTAATAAAGCTTCCCCCTATCAAAGGGAAAGGAATCAAGGGTGCTGAGAAACAAGGTATAAGTGATGCAAGGAGTTATACACTTGGCCTGTCAACCAGAAGACATTCAACATGACGGTTACTTGTCGTCAGCCACCAAAACGAGCTCCTCTAGCCACTTAAGAGAGCTTCCATCCTGTCAGGGGTCTGCCATCACAGTGTACATGACAGCTTCTAAACCAGGGGTGGGCAAAATACGGCTTGGGAGAGAGATGCGGCCCGCCAGGCCATTCTATCAGGCCCTTAAAAAATTTAGAAAGTTAATATTTATCTGCCCTGGGCTGCCTGTCATGCGGCCCTCGATGGCTTGCCAAAACACAGTAAGCGGCCCTCTGCCCAAAATGATTGCCTGCCCCTGTTCTAAACCCTTCCCATATGCTACTGAGTGGGGAAGCAAGTCAGTCTGTCTTTGCTGAAAGAAAAGGACCTAGCAGTACACTCCCATATGTCTGTTTTGAAGCATCTGCATAAGGGAAAGCAGAGACCTGCTGAGCGGCTGAAGTGCCAGCATGAGTCTAATGCCTACTATTAACTCCCAAGACACTGTATAAACAGTCTCCTTCCCAAAGACTTTCTGGGAAGCCATGGTAGCTTTTGAATGCTAATTCTCTTAGTTTCTCTCAAAGCCAATAAGTGAATACCGCATAAATAGATCTGATGCAAAAATTCACAGGTGCCCAGAACAACTCTGCTGCCCACTATAGTAACTCAGATGATGCCACGTGTTCACAGGGCCCTGCGTGTACCATGCCAACACCCCCGGTACTAAACACGGTGCAAGCCAGAGATCCCCATGCCCTGGAACTGCAGGCTACACGGCTGCTTATACAAGTAGCAAGTTCAGACAAGCTAACAGTCGCTCAATGAGACCAAAGCCAGGCAAGCTGAAAATCCAGCTTCTGGCAAACTCCCACTATTCTCCAGCGAGGTAACGGCGCATGCAGGCCCAGGCTCTGGGAGACGCTCTGGGCGGCCGCGCAGCAGGAGTTAAGAAGTAAGCGCTGGACTCCCTCCGGCGCGGGCAGGCGGTCGGGTGGGGCGGGGCGCAGCCTACAGCCG